GGAACACTTAGAAAGTCGAGTGGAGTGTTGTTTATCGGGCCGGTGGCATTTGGACCATGACAGGCTGTTGCGCGAGTTGTTTACGAACGTGCAAAAGGAGAAATGTCAACCCAGGAATAAAAAACAGCCGAAAATGATTGTTTATTTACACCTGTGTAAAAGGTTTGTGTCTTATTTGAATTAGTAAAACTCTATATACACAATTTCCATTAGCTACCTAAAAAAATCATCAAATCTTCCATCTATAATATACTACTTGATATTACATACACAACATAAGCTCTCTTACACAATATTACAGGTACACTGTTCACATGTTTCTATGTACTTTCCTAGTAAATTTGACTGTGAAGTTGGTCAGTAGAGCAGAGACTGAAAAAAAGAAAAGGAGCCATAAAAGAACAAAAGATAGATTGGCGCTGTGGCTTTGAATAGAGGCTGCTAATGGGCCATAACATCGTACGCCATAAGGTTTTCATCTGAAACTGATTGTAAATGTCGTTGTCGATTTCCTCAGGGTACCAGGAAAGTGTTCTCTGAACAGAGTAAAGTGTTGTTCCACAATATGTGTCATAAGTCACTTTGAATTACCGGAATCATATCAGTCTTTTCACTGGAAACGTCAGGACACACAGAGCTACTGTATTTTGCCTTTAATTCAGCATGTCAATAAAACGATCCATGTGTGAATCTCCCAGAGGTTCTAGGGAACATACACAGACATGTTTCTGTTTCATCCTTTAAATGCTGTGTCAAAGACCCGCAATGCCTTCACACCTCAAGCCTTAGAACAGCACTGCGCCATAGCCGTCTGATGTTAAACTTAACTTATTCTATCAAATGAATGAAATGAGGAAAAAAAAACACATGATCTTTCCACCATGCCAGATTTCCACATGACCTTTTCCTTGTGTTTAATAAAACATTAAGTAAACAAAAAATGAAAAAAAAACGCAGTGGATAAAGGTGGTAATGCTGTTCTACTGTCTAAGAAGTACGACGTTTTACCAGACAAAACATATTGAGTTGAGAGCTGCTACCTTCTGTGAGAGTGATGCCGATGCAGAACCAAACAGGGATGTCACCAAAACGTAAACAAGACCCTATGAAACACGGGACGTGAGCCACTGCATGTTTATTTAATTTGTTCAACACATAAACAACACATACTCATATCATTTCAGATGCATTTGCAAGGATATTTCCATGACATCATACAAGTGCATCACATTCAACAGTCTCTTTGGTACAGAGTTCTATGTCCCCTGCAAAACTCTTGCAGAAGCTCCCTTGAGGCTTAAAACCTTGGCTCCCCGGAGTGCAGGATAAATACTTGGAGGCAGTTCTTAATTCCCAACAATTCCTGCATCATCTTGACTTCATCAGCTTTAACGGCCAGTATATTAAAACAGTAACTTTATTCATGCTTCTTACACTGTTCCTTAATGTTGGACACAACTTAAAAGACACATCTAAAATATTGGTGCTTTTTAACTAAATAAATAAATAAACTAAATAAATAACACTTTCCCGACAATAAAATGGCAGTGTAACAGATACTGAATACAAAGGAATAGTGCTGATGGAATGAAAACCTGCTTTGTTAAAGCATTGCAGCTCAAAGTACAAAAGAGCCGTAAAAATCACTCATGAAACTGAGACGGAACGTCTCTGAATGAACAAGTAAAATAAATGTCTTAAGTCTCCCTCAGGCTTCACATACGTTGTACAGTGAGCAATTAAAAACAAAGACCGTGTTTTGTTGGACATTTTCCAAATCCAATCGCTCTGAAAGAGACTCTGTGAAAGAGCAGCACGAGGTTCGCTCATCTGTGACCTTTAAAAAAGGGTGTGAAACATTCTAGGAAGTCTCTAATCTCTGTAACAAGTACGCGGCGGCTACTTTCAAAAACAAAATCCCGTCTACGGATGCATGAACCGGTAAATAAAGACTTGTCTGCTTGTATTATCGCGGGAGAAATGTCGGGATGTCTGCATTCCGCTATCGAAGGCTGGCCGCGATTATGAGAAATACGCCACATACGCAGTTGGACAGACATCTGAAGGGCGCGCTGAAATGTCACGCTGACATCCGAGTGGTTAGTTCATATTCTGCTTGACGCCACGCCAGAGCTGGAATGTCGTATCTTCTGATATGGGCGTTATAATAACAACAACACACATGGTAAAACAATATGCAGAACGAACAGAGAAGAAGTCAAAAGTTACAACTAGGCCAAGGACGATACGCAGTAGTTAGTTGGCTCCCAAAGCATCTATTACATTTGTGTTAACATTGAGCATATACTATATAAGTGCTTGTGTTGGGTGCAGCGGCATGCTTCACAGGCTCATCCACGCCCCGGGTCTCTGTCGGAGTGTCGTCTCACCCTCTCCAGGCCGTTTGGATCCATCCGACGCGTCGGAGCCGCCATCCTCCTCGGACGCCCTCGAGTCGGGAGGCCCTCCCTCCTCGCCGTCGGCCGCGTCGCCCACGGGGGGATCTGCGGCTTCCGGGGGCCCCGCTGAAAACGCCGGCGGCCACGTGCCGCCTTCGTGGGCACCAGACGCCCCGTTCGCAGGTCCGATCACTTGAGGAGCGCCGAGGTCCTTCTGAGAGTTTTCCTTCTCCATGCGCTTCCGAGCGTCCTCCCTCCTCTGCTGGATGCGCGTGTTGTCCCCCATCATGACCCGGACCCGGACCTGCTCCGGAGGCAGGAGCCCGCCCCACACGAACTGCAGGTAGCTGAACAGCACGATGACGCTGAGGAAGGCGAAGTTGGTGGCCACGCCGATCACTGCGGACGTCAGGGGGAAGTTGTACAGAACGTATCGCACGCCGGTGAAGTAGGCGTGGATGCGCAGCTGAGAGGAGTAGATCTGCACTCGCTTGGACATGATCTCGATGACCGCACCGATGGAGGGCTGGAAAGCGTTGGTCTTGTAGTCGGAGAAGAGCTCAACCTCTATGAGCTGCTTCTGTTCGGCCATCCCGGTCACGAAGAAGGGAGAGAAGAGCAACGTGCTCAGGCTCTGCAGGAGGCCGGAGCGGTAGTGCAGCATCGTGGATCGGCCCACCGACGAGACGGTCCTCCCGCCCTTTGTGTAACAAGACATCTTGACCATGAACATACCCAGGTTCTCATTCACCGGGGACTCTGGCATCTCCAGCTCCAACGAGACCCGGTACGGCTGACCGTAGGCCATCACTTGGTCCCTCTCGTTCTTGATGAGGGAGATGTTGGCCGTGGGGAACGAGCAGAGGACTGACTCGGAGGCGTCACAGTCGGAGGTGTAGAAGAAGTGCACGGGGGTGGAGAAGCTCACGGTGGGCATGTAGGAGTAGTAGAAGCTGCCGTAGAGAAAGACGGACACCCAGAGCAGCAGCAGCAGGACGCAGAACAGGATGGCGGCCTGCAGCAGAGTCCGGCGTGCTTTCAGGAGAGTGACGGAGGCCACGTCGTGGACCCAGTGGAGGACCGCTCCCATCGTACTAATGATAGCGTCCGATCCGGACTTTCTTCTGGTCCTGGTTTGGTCGGTTGTTCCTCCCTCGGCTCCCTGAGACTGCAGCCCCGGCGGTGGATCCCTGTGGTCGTACATCAGTGGGCGGTGTCCGTCCGAAACCGTGTGATCGCTTCTCCTCGCATGCCTCCCGTGCCTAACGTCGGTGTGCATCTGTTCACAGGGCTACATTATGGAGCATTAGCCGAGGGCCGAGCTTGTGTTTAAGCTAGGTCGGCTCGCAAAGCTGACGTGTTTTAAGACTACCCGAAACAAATAAATCTAAATGAAATGATTTGCTTCTGAAGGTTAGACTGTGACGGTGTCCACCTGACTTAACGCTGTCTAAGCTTGTTTTCCTTCCGCGTTTCTTCTTCTCCTTCTTTAAAGGTTATCGGCAGGTGGCAAACTGCGGGTTGGTGCATTAGCGCCACCAGATGGTTGGGAGGGAGGATGTCAAAATGAATAAAAGAATGGGCACATACTTTCTAAATAATATTAGTTAGTCTAACATACTAAAATAGTACTTGATAAGACCCACTTCTTGTTGTTTTGCAGAATATCGATTATATCTGTATTTGTACTTGCTGCGGTGTCCTATTGCTCATGCTTCTTCGTGCAGATTTAATTTCAACCATTTTCCATTAAACTCAAAAAATCATCGTCCTTTTCTGTCTTCCTCGTTAATATCTTCATCTAGCTGTAATGCATATGCATTCACCACTACTGTAGTTTCATTTAGCTGTAGTACATATGCATTCACCACTATTGTAGCGTCCCTCCGCCTTTATTTTAATTGATCTGCGAATTTGATCAACGGTTTCTTCCAAGATTCGGCTTCCTCATTTCGCACTGCTGTTTTTTTCGCCAGATGGATAAAAAAGATGGATAAAAAAATGGCCATACTTATCAATTTTTGCCATCCTCCCTATATAGTGACACAATTTCTTTCCCTTATGTATTTGAATGATCCTCCTCAGATTTGCTTGAAACCTTTTATATTCAATAAAATTCTGAAAACTTTGATTGTATTTACTTCAAAAGCTTTATTTGGAGATCTAATTGCTTCATCATATAATCCAGAAGCTAACCCCCTTCCGAGTCAGATAGTTAAAGTAATGTCTGTTTTGGTGTTAAGTAGTTTCTCACTTCCCATAATTTACATTAGTCTATATTAAATATCCAGAAGCTCTTTAATAGCCATTCAAATGCCACCGTCACCACTTTACTATTATGTACTATTCAAATCTCCACAACATTGTACTTCTCCTCCACCTTTTTAACGTCAATCGAACTTTTTCCCCCCATCTGGTGTCTCCAGTCTGTCTAGCTTTGTTAGCATGTTACCTGCCACCCAGTCACCGGGTTTAGCTTCTTCCAAGGCATGACCGCGTGAACCGGAAGGCGATGCCTTCTTTTGTGCCACTGTGAAGCAGCCGAGCCGAGCCGAGCCGCAACAACGACGCCAGGGAAGTCTGCAGGCCCTTTAGACTGACGGACATCGATGGGTAAGAAAAATCGCCTCACAGGAGGAGCGGTCGGTCGGAGAACGATCCTACAGCTTTCCCGTCCCGGGCTGCGCGGCGGGAATGTCGGAGAGAGGGAAGAAGCCCCCTCGGGATCCGATGGTATTTCTTGATAATGTCATCTCAGTGGCTTGTTAGCTGAATGCTAAGTGCTGGAGTTGTGAAGCATGTGGCAATGTTTTAAAAACATGACAAAATGCTCATATCGAGTTAGTTAACATTAGGTGCAAGGATAAATCATCAGCACCAATAGCTAATAACGCAAAGTGATAGCAGTATGCTAGCTAACGTTAAGCTAACGGGTCGGCCAGAAGCTATCGTGTAGCATGCTAAGCTAACGTTAGACGTTTCTGTGCGCATGCCAACATAGTCTTACCACGAATGGCTGTGGACCCAAGCGTGATTAGCTGTACACCGCGAGTGTCGCCATTACGTTTGACGTGTGTCAGTGTGAGGATGTTGTCCGTGTGGGAGAATAACGTCAGCTTTTAACAGTTAGCTTGCTGTAGCTAACTCAAGGCTAACCTCTTGGCTGACATTTTTTTTGCAGATGAACAGGAGGTTGAGGGACACAGATTTATGAGAGAAAGACTCACAAACATGAAGACTGCCGCAGTAAAGGCCACAGGTAGAGTAACAGTATATACAGGGATATGTTTTTTTGTAACTTTTTTAAAGCAAATCACGTAAGATTGATCAAGATGCTTTGCCGCCACTTGTAGAGGGCTTGTCTCTGCTTGGAGCCTACGAGGACAGCGATGAAGAGGAGGCTGGAGACGCTCTTCCGCTTTCCACTGCAAAGTCAGCAGACATCGACAGTACATTGGCCAATTTCATGGCTGTGAGTATAATTTGCTGTATGTCTTGTATCGGAACATAAGTTCATGCATATATGACCAGACCAGTTCTGAAATGCACCCAAGAATACAATATTCATTTCTTTATGCATCATCACTGATCCATAGGCAATGTCCTAGGATGCATGCACAAGCAAACATCCTCTCATGTAAGTTTAGTACGTGTACTGATGGAGTGAAGATGTCGCACCACTCTACACTGCACACTTGTGGTCTAATTACCAAAAAGCCTCCAAGTAGCTCATAATGCCATGAGGATACTAAAGAGACAGAGATGGTGCAGTGCCAGTGGGATATTTGTGGCTGCAAGATTTAATACTTCACAAACTGTCTAAATAAGATTATAATTGTCAAACCTAGTTTAATACTACGCGCTACAAGGCCCAGCTGTATTGCTACAGATACATAAACATTGAATAGAATGAAATACAATCTGGACCATGAGCCTGAAATAAATGTTTTGATTAGAGATTAGATTAGAGATTGTAAATAGATCTTCAGGCTAGGCCATTGTTGGTAGTGTGGACTGTCCATGTTAGGGTCAATCTTTTGTGTGTTGTTCATACATTCCTTTTGGCCATTTTTCACCACAGGAAATTGATGCCATCACCACCCAGCCAAATTCTGAAGATGCAACTCCACCTTCGTTCCCAACCGCCGCACCACCCAGACCTGATGTGGACACTCGGCAGCCAGCTGCCAGTGCAGCTCAAAACCAACAAAGCGCAGAGTTTGAGTACAATACTCAGTGCTCTCTTTCTAGAGGTAACTGTCTTCCTGACCTGATAAGCCGATATATGTTTGCAAACCTTTTCTGCTTTGAGATTATTGCTTACTAGGAAGAAAAACAATCCCTTCATTTAATAACATATTAATATAAGTTTCACATTACAAATAAACTGCCTACATTTCAGCAACCTCGTTTCATATCAATCGGTCTTGATGATCACCTGTTTCTACCTTGCTATACATTGGTGAAGATTGTTTTGACTTTTGGAATTTTGTGTGCTAGCATTACCTAAAATCAGCTTTGCTTTGCAGTGGGTGTAGAGATGGGAGACTGGCAGGAGGTGTGGGACGAGAACTCTGGCTGCTACTACTACTGGAGCACTCGGACCAACGAGGTGTCCTGGGAGCTGCCGCACTATCTAGCTGATCAGGTGCAAACTCTGGGCCAGAATACCAACAGGTAGGAGGAACAGGCACCCCTGAAGCCACGCTCCCTATCTCATCCCAAGTACCTTTTCTTTGAATGTTTTTTTTTGTCTCAAGTAAAGACATTCAGAGGTGTATGATGTAGTTTTGTATTTCGTCTTTGTAGCTCGAGTATCAACGGCAACGGCACAGCGCATGTAGCCTATCAGGCCAAGGAAAATGCCGCATTTGTTGTAGCCCCGCTGTCCGTGAAGGAGACCAAAGTGAAGGCAAGTTTCATTCCACACATTAATAAATAAAATTTGACTCTGTGGTGTTTAAATAAAAAGAAGCATTCTAAGCTTTGATATTGTTACCTGATGTTTTGTCTAAAAGGAGGTCATTGAGAGTGTCGTGGGCCTCACAAGTGAAGAAGAGGAGCGCCACGGAGTGGCGGCGTCTCTGCTCGGGCCTTTGATCCCCTCTGAAGTGAAGGAATCAGAAGAGCGATGGAGGAAAAAGCTGCTTAAAGGCTTGGATGAGACTGAGAACAGTTTAGATTCTGACGGGGAAGGCGTTCGCAGTGCAGTATCTCAATCCACCCCTCCGCTGGACCCTGACCCAATCCCCACGGTCCAGAAAGACGTTTGCCACAAGGACTTGGAAGACAATTCAGATGCAGAGGAGGAGACGGAAGAAGACACCATGGAGCTGGAACTGGCCCTGGAGAGGAAAAAGGTGAGTTTTTTTTTTTTTTCCAGCAAAGGTTTACTTGAATGAAACGCAAAATCTCTGGAACGCTTGGAGAGAATTTTATTGAAATTGGGCACAAACTTCCACTTGGACTCAAGGCAGAACTTTATTAAGAGGTTGAAGGTCACTACATAATTCTGATCAATTCAAACAAAGTCAAAGTGAAGTGATGCCATTTTGGACTGACTATTTGTGAGCTGCTGCTTGACTGGTTGGCCGAGACATACGGCCACGAGACGCTTTTCTGGTTTGAGGCTGCGGTAATAGTATTTCCAAGTGTGCACTGGGGACAACGTGTCCTTTCTCTGACTCTCAGGCTGAGCTGAGGGCGCTAGAGGAGGGCTACGTGAGTGCCGGGGGCTCCAGTCCTTGTTCCGAGACCAGCCAAGAAGCCTCTGGTTCTCGAGGCATTTTGCTAAAGAAAAAGCGGTGGAAGACCGCCTTCCCTTCGGCTCCCAGTCCAGAGTCCAACAGCATCGGCTCCGACCTGCAGGACATCACGGAGACAAGTGAGTCCAAACCAATGCACGTTCCATTCATTTCATTTTTATTCTCATCTCCCAACATATTTAAATGCCTCTTTTTTTTTCTTTCTTGTGGCCGTTTCAAAAGCTCAAGAAAGCGCCAAAGAAGTGGAGGACAAGGAAACAGATGGTTCAGAAGAGAAGGCGCTTACAATTCCTCTGGTTAAAGAAGAGGTGGAAACACCGGAGCTGAAAGTAGAAACGCCTGAGCTCAAGGTAAAAAAACGTGGTTATCACTGTCCATTGTGGCTCTTTTTTTGGGACAGTTTGTAACGCGGATGAATGTCTAGTTTCAGATTGGAGAACTGGCTAATACGTTGACTAGCAAGATGGAGTTCCTGGGGATAAACAAAAGGGCGATCTCAAACTTTCAGTTTCTTCTGTTACAAACTGAGGTGAGAGGAAAACCGGTTCATTTTCTGACCAACACCATCCTAGTTTCCAGATGTTGAGATCCAAATATGACATTTAAAATATTTAACGCTTCATTTTGTTTCACATAATTTTGCACAAAGCCACGTCGAAAGTACTTTAATATTTAAAATTCTCATTATAATCCATCATCGGGAAATGTAATGTAATTACGTTTCCAAGTTTCACATCTATCTTTTGGCTTTAATGTCTCCTGTATCCTTTTACCTATACTTTTATTTCACTCTGTCTCCCCCCAGACTCGGATTGCTGACTGGAGAGAGGGCGCTCTGAATGGGGTCTATCTTCGTCGCAGGCTCCAGGAAGCTGCCGAACACATAAAATATTACGAACTTAACGCCACTCCTAAAGGCTGGTCCTGCCACTGGGACAGGTACGCGCTCCTTACCTTTCACATCTCTAAACTCCCTCGTACCCCACCCAAAAAACAACAACTACACCCTTCTAAGTGCCGCGGTTGCAGACTTTGTTTCATGACCTGGGGAGACGCTTAACCAGTCTGGGAGGATCAGAATACTTTCCAGAAACAGACTCTGCAGGTTTCTGCCTGGCACATACTGATAAGGGAGCATCCGCTCGGGGCCGGCCTGCTTCCTGTTAAATATTCCTGCCACCAAAAAGCTCCATGTCCACATAACAGACTCTTAAGCCCTTTGTTGTCAGGGCATTTGCAGACTGATTATGGGTCCAGTCAGTGGAAATTTTGGAAGGGTGGAGGGGGGGGGGGGACTTTGAACTTTACAGGACTACACCACCCAGAATGCAATGCAGACAGTGATGTCCGGGAAGCGAGGAGTGTCACGCATCTAATAAAAGGTGAAGATGGAGCAATGACGGGAACCCAGCAGGTCAGACCTACTCTATTTCATATGTCTTCCTGTTTTTATTATTTTCCCTTCTGATGTAAAAAGACTTGAGTGTGTGCTCGTAATTTTTGACCTATGCTTCTCGATGATCATGATGGTGTTTCCTCTCTGGCGTCTTCCTGTGTCTGGGAGGGAATGGTTGTCTAAAACGGAACAAATGTGACAACCATGGTGTGAGCTGCTGATTGCTACTTTCAGGACCCTAGAGATGATTTGTTTTGCTTTCTTTGTTTTTGAGAGCAAAGGTGGGTTCCCTATCCACATCCCTGACCACACTCCAATTGGGCCCTGCTTTTGGACAGCTAAAGTCGCTGTCCATACCAACACTCCTGCCCCTTGGTGTGGCCATTATGTCCACTCCCTTGCCCCTCACCCCCACTGTCCCAGGGTATCCCGCCACTCATGCCGTTGCTGGGACAGCCGTTGAGACTCTTGCATCCTATCTCTGTTGTCCCACTCTTTAGAGAGCACAGGCGGTATTTCTATGTGAACGACCGGACCAGTGCCTCCCAGTGGGATTTTCCAAACGAGGACAAGGAGGAAGACCTGCAAGGCACAGAGACACAGACCTCCAGCCAAGAGAACACCAAAACATTGACCGCATCTCCTGGTGGGGTCGCAGGTCAGTCTCTGTCCTCCGGGTTAACCACAGAGTGCCGAGTATATTTATTGTCCTGTTTTTCCTCTGAACATGTGGCTTACATAATACAAAACAATGTGACAAAGCTATCTACACGGTTCATACAGTCTTGAAAAAGCTGGGAAAAGTCATGGGATTTTAAAATGGAAAGTATTCTAGTCATATTCTTCAATGAGTTTGAAAGAATGCACGAGAGACGCTCAAAATATAAACAGGCGTACGCTCTCTACATGTGGAAAATGTCATGGGTAGACAAAGACCCGGGACAAGCAAAATGTAGGTTGTGTGTGTTATGTGGAGGCAAAACATTCAACCTTTCTAACGTGTGTGTGTGTGCGCACGTGTCCGTGCTGTGCCCGTTGGGACGCAATGTCTGCTTTTGAGTTCTCATTGTCACTTTAAATATGTAAATTTGTCACTTATTGATTTCACTAAATGTTTGGTCATGGAAATCCATTGATGAAAATGTATGAATTATGCTTCTCCCAATATTACAATTTTATGTTTTTCTTCTTTTTAACAGGATCTTTCACCCCAGCCGCCCCCCCCACCCGCACCGCCCCAGCCCATTGCATCGTCTCTCTGGTCCCCACCCCAACCCCCCCTTCCTGACAGCCCACCTCCCCCTCCTGAACAGCCCCCGCCGCCGCCTCTCCCCCCCGGCTCCCCACCTCCATCACCTCCTCCTCCTGACAGCGACGAAGAGATCATGGAGGTGGAGATGGAGATGGACGACGACAATGACAGCGAGCCGCCTGCTCCTGGAACGGAGGAGGACGGCTCTGCGAGGCCTCCGTTGCCTCCAGGCAGCGCCGGCGTGAAGGTATGGGAGACATCAATTTAATTTAGCAATATGCAGTTAATAATGGACATGATTGTGTGTGTATTTATCCTTTTTAACAATGTTTTGTGTCCCACAGATTGTGGAGTCGTCGGTTCCCTTGGGGAAGGGTCAGAAACGTAAAGCCGGCCAGCTGAGTAAATCCATCACTATTGGCAGTGGCGCCATTCTCTACACCCAGCCGGCTTTTAGCGCAGGTAAAAAGGGATCACAACATCTGCTGTTAAATGATGTACTTCCCCAATATGCGTACCTGTCTGCTCCACGTCCTCTGAAACCAGACCAGAGCCCTGTTCGCTAAATGACGGTTTATCCTTGTGCAGCTCCTCTAATTTCTGCAACGGCTTACTGGGGCGTGCCAGCGGTCCCTGCTCCCCTGGTCCCCTGTGAGCCTCCTCTCCCACCTGTCCCGGCCTTACCTCCTCAGCCACCACTGCCGCCAATCCAGCCGCCCTCTGAACCTCCTGGAGTCAAAGCTCCGGCCGCAGACAAGACCAAGAAAATAAAAAAGGATAAGGTCAGTATTGGGCATTTTACATCAATTGTAAAAGGGGCAGTAGAAAAAAACTATATGTATAAACCACAGCACAAACTTATTGTTGAAGACTAGTGTTGATTTAGCTTCTCACATTCTTTCACATTTTTCTCCTATATCTCCTCGTATGTAGTCAAAGAAGAGTAAGATCAAAATGCCGTCTCTGGTGAAGAAGTGGCAGAGCATCCAGAAGGAGTTGGACGAAGAGGAGAAAAGCAGCTCCAGCGACGAGGACAGAGATCAGCTCAACAAGAGGAGTATCGAGGACTGGAAGACACAGCAGCTCATGACGTATGTTTACCAAGTAACATTTTTCTTTTTTTAGTGGTTTTGATGACTGTGTATGGATGCAGCTACGCTGTTGAGTTCCTGGACTTTCTTATGACGTTTTTCCATCTTGAGGAACTTCATTAACTGTTTTTTACTCCACAGAGGAAAAGCTTCAAAGAATGCTAATTTTGAGACGCTGCCCGATAACTGGAGGGACCGACTGAAGAAACGGAAGACGACGAAGAACACGTAACATCCAACCCGGGTCATAAATCGCCTGCTCACCATCATTTTTACTCAGCTCCATCCCTTAATACAAGGTCATCCTGCCCCAGATTAACGTTTTATTTTATGGTCGTTGGACTTTGTTTATCATTTTATGATGGACAATGGAGACATTTGAGGTCCTTACATGGCAGGCCATTCCACAGAAGGACCTGAATGCTCTTTTGTTTTGTAGTGACTGTTGTAAATGTGCCAAAATGATTGGGTTCATTGGGGTTCATCAAAATCTACTTCACCGCCGTTTTGTCGAGCTTCACGAAATCAATGACCACCGCAGTTTGTTTGGAGGGAGTGTGTCTATTTTATTGAGTTTATACAACTCCGTTCATTCATGTATAATGTTATGTGCAATGATTTGTGAAGGGAAGGGTCGCTGGACTTGTACATTTTGTAAAGTTATTAAAGTTTTTTTCATTTGTCATTTGTTTGCTGTATATTTGATGATCACTTACCAATATACTATTTACCTTTTACTTTAAAGTCAAAAGTAGAAATTTTATCTTAATATTAATTTTACATAAGCTGCATTAATTACAGCATAATTCATCATGAGGTATCATAATTACAGGTCTTGGTTGATAATCGAGGCCAGCCACAACATTTTTCAGAATCAGCTTTGCAAATTAATAAGAAAATATAAGACAAAACAAGCACAACTCCCCAAAAAGCAGAACACCTTTAATGTCTTATGAACAAAAGTATGCAGCATCTTTTGATGGATACAACCTACAGAGGACATTTTATAGGCCCTCCAGGTGAAAAAAATGATGTGGGAGGCTCGTCCATTTGACCTAAATTAAATCTCAAAATGCTCCCCAATATGTTGTGTTCTGATGGGCCGACAGAACACCTCTGGGACGTTATGTCTGGCTGAGGCCAGGCGATCGCGAGGGTCATTTAATCGTATCAATTCCTTCATCCTCCAGGTACTGCCTGCATGCTGCCCATCAGGAGGAACCAGGACCTACTGCAGCAGCGCTGGGTCACACATTAATCCTTACTACCGATAATAGTTGGAAATGGCATTGAGAAGATACTGCCTCAAATGTCTTTTAATCATAACTAGAACTTTTAGAAATAAGTTAAACAGCTTTAACCATGAATTAGATATAACTGTATAAAGGTATAAACATTTATTTTGAATATCTTTTTTGTGTTATTTCCAATGTCTAAGTAGTGGATTCCATTTGCTCGTTACTGTACTGTTCATTTTTGTACTTCTTTTTTTTCTGAGAAGATCTTAAATCATGAAAGGATCGGCCCTCATATGGAATAAATTACATTCGAGTGGTTATTTAAAACACAATGTATCTATAGGCTTAGTCAGGTGACAGGTCAGCCTTACCTTTAGTTTTATTTGACATATTTACAATGTGGTTACAAAAGGGAGGGAAGTCCAAGCACAACGATGTAAAAGACAGGAGAAATGTTACAGATGGAAAACGAGGGAATGCAGGAGTTACTATAAACAAAAAAGCCTTGTTTGGAAGCATTCTGTTGGTTTTGGGATACTGTTCTAATAGACGGGATGATGCAATCCACACGTTTTTAGTACCACTCTAATTAAACCACAGGACTGCCGGTTGCAGTTCCTGAAATAGCCTGCAGAGTGCATTCAAACACCAGGTTATCCACGCACATTATAGCTTCAGAAAGCATTTACACACAGCCATTTATTCTGCTAAAGATCCCACATAAATCCAAACAAAATGGCCACATACATGTAATAATTAATTAATGTCAGGAAGCTCTACAAAACGGTGGCGAAGTATATTTTTGATGGATAAAAACGATGGCGAGCAGGCGACGTATGACTCGGGTTGGATGTCACGTGTTCTTCTTTCCGTCTTCTCATTCTCATTCTGATAACAGTAACAAGCCAATTCTGACATAAATGTTACTGTTTTGAAAAAGTCTTTTGACAAATTTCAACCGATAACAGGGACCACACGTAGCTCACTGTCTTCTGCATGTAGCAGTAATGAAACATCTGTATTAATCTGTATGAGACTTTGCACACAAAAACAAAATGCTGCTGTGCTTTTAAATCACAACAAGGCCAGCAAGCTATGACCCACTTTCAGTGACACACCACTCGTGTGCACACAAGGCTCAATTTTGACCTAAGAAAAGTGATGGATCACCACGTTAACCGGACCGACTGATTTCAGATGACACAGCTTGCTGATTTACGGTCGCTGCGCGTAGTATTGTAGGTCAGAATAGCCAGAGAAGCATTGGCTTGCATTATGCACAATGTGACAGTTATTGGCGTGGCATTACGTGTATTGAAGAGCAGAGAGAGAAAGAATTCAAGAGGAGGACATCTGGATTCAGAGGAGACTTTCCCTAGAAGTTCATTCTCTTAAAGCCGAGGCGCACGATATTTGTGGTCGGATTAACATGCGACATCCTTAGAGCGGCGTGCAGCCAGGCAGGAATAACAACGGGAGCTGGAGCGGCACTAAGCTATTAATAGAGGGCCTAGCTGAGGAATACATGGGGAGTTGGGGTGTCCTCTGCTCTGAGGACCACCAGAGGGCACCGTAATGGAAGACAATGGAGACTCCTCTTCTAGTCTACTCCCCCCCCCAGTCTGCTTTAAGCCACTGGGTGTCAAAGTTATAATAGTGGTTGAATGCAGTCTGAAAGCTCCAAAATGTAAGTGTATCCAAATGTTTTATTACAAATTTGCATTTGAAAAAAGGTATTTCAACGTTGCCGCTAAACAAACAGGCTAAAATCACTTGCTTTAAATGTTTTTTAATAAACTTAACTTAACCATTTTTTAAATAAAATGTTCACGCTCAAACTAAAACACCACAAGTTCAAATGTATAATTGATGAAAAAAACATCTGTGTGTTTCTAAAATAGTCGGTTCATAAAAACTGACTGATTCAAGACCTCCAGTAGAACATCTCAATTCAATTTTAGTTATTTTCAAGGATTCAAGCTAACAGGCCGCGAGTTACTGGCATACAAATGGCTAACCATGACTAAATACTCAGTTTAAGACAAATATCTTTTAAGGACGTGAGAGAAGAGATTCCCTGCTCTGGCAGGTCGCTCAGCGAGGGCAGAGCGTGGCGTCGCAGCAGCCTGAGCACTGGCAGAAGGGTCTCTCTAATGTGTCATGTCTGATTCCTAACGAGTGCAGGTAAAATGTTTGCCGTCAAACAGGGGCATGGGAGCTAATGAAATGTATGTATTTCTGCATTTCTGCAAAAGAGAACCCCCCCCCCCCATCACAGAGATGCTTATATCAGCATCTCTGTGAAATTATGCTTGGTACGCAGGGCAATGTCTTACCATGAGTCATTATTTACACCTCCAATCCATTTATCAACAGGCCACATTTAATGGAGACAAAACCAAGAAATTATTGTGCACATAACGTCAGCCTCGGCTGGCCGTTGCAGTCAGTGCCTGCTTGGTTCCCCGCTTGTTCCCGCTGGCTGAAATCTCATCTTGGCTTATTTACATTATATTACACCAATGGAATACTTTGTTGAAATGTAATGAACTGTTAAAGCAGCGGCGGGGGGGTGGGTGGAGGGGGAAAATTTTACTGGGTATATGGAGGCAAATGTAGGATCCTATACAATGTGCAGGAGACACACCTCATTATATATTATCTGTACAGGACCAGTAATGGAGGTGATATCAAAAAACTTCAGTTAATGCTTTTATTGTGCCTGGTCCTTGTATTTGGGTGTTTAAATATGCAATTGTTTGCTTCCTCGAACTCAATAAATTCTCATATTTCAGAGGTGTTTACAGCTTGTCTCCGCTGCCCAAAAGTGGCCATAAATCATATTTTATTATTGCAGGTTCAATGAGGAATTAGAGCGGAGGTAGAGGATGAATCTACTTAAATCTGATCAGGAATCAGGAAATATTTATTGCCAAAATAAATAAATGATGATAAACAAAACCTAGTCAGTCACAATTACTGGAGCATAATAAGAATATAACTAAAAACTCAAGTGTGCCTTTGCTTCGTTAGAAGTAATTATTCCAATGACCACATTGTTAATTAGCTAAGACTAATTGCTAAACGTTTGCGCTGGGAGCTGGGCGGTGGGTTGCATCATTGTCTGGGAAGTGAACACAGAGACAGAGAGACGCAATGAAAAAGGAGTCGGTCAACGCAGGTTGGTCAACGCGAAGCAATTAAGATAATGATTTGAAAGAGAAAACACAGATGTACCCTTCTGGCATTTACCGGTCAGGTCTTATGGCGACTAGACGCAGACAGAGTTGTTCTGTGAAAGTTAACTCATTTAGAAAATGTGAAAAAAAAGAATAGGGGGAAACTCCTTTGTGCAAACTGATATTCATAGATATTCAGTGCTACACATCTACACGATAGTAAAGAGTTTCTGAATGCGTTCAAAGTGAATGTAAGGAAAGAATCCTCACCTATTAAGGGATGAGAGCCAAGACTTTGCTGATGTGGAATGAAAAAAGAACAGAAATGGAGAGTAATGGAGAGGACAGAGACGCACACTCGCACTTCATACCCTCTGTGAATAAACACCCAAATAGCTCTCCAGCGACTGAGTTGTGAGTGATTACGGCAATGAGTCTGATGGGTCCAGTCTCTCCTTATTCATTATCCAATAAGACCTGGGATTTCTGGATGAACACAGGTCATCATGCTGCATCAGAAAATTACCATTTCAATTACCGTGTCAGCGGAGGCGGCTGATGGCTGCAGCACACATCCATCAGCCGCCTTTCTTCTCAAGCCCACATCCATATAGTGCGAGCCGGGGATCACGGGAAGGGAAGTGGGCAGAAATCACATGGATAATGAATAACTATTACCTGAAGGCAACTAAAAGAGTCCTTTCTGTGGTGCTCCAAGAAAATGGAAAAAAATGTGATGCAGGTGCAGGAAATCAGAAATATATTTACTTCAAAAACTGATAATAGACGTGTAAAGATATTCAGATAAGATGGGATGGGGACCATTGTTTATGTAATTAGCAACAGAAACACACAATATGTGGAAGAGTTGATCTATATATAATCCGCTTGTGCTCGTGTTTTTCGAGCAATCTTTAAGAGCACGTTTCAAGGACCCCTGCAGAACAGTGCAGATGAACATTTAATACACAGGATTCCCATTATAGACCCAATCTGTGTCACCCGTTTGGGACATTGGCCTCGCACGTTCCAGCTGCTCGGTTTCCACCTGTTAATAATGGATCACACTCGCCCACAGAGGGTCACGATCTAAACCCTGCAACCCGCCTCAGCTCCATGGAGCATTTTAGCTCTCATCTTCTTTACTGGTTTCACAGCCTGCAGCGTGATGGTTTTCATTCACTCTCGCTGTCAATTATTCACTGAGGTTGATCATCTTCACTTGACTTCAAACACTTGATTTGATCAGTTCAGGATGCCGTGGACTT